CTGATCGTGAAATGTAAACACTGAAGGGGATTTCCCGAGCTATTTTATTACCACACCAAACACTCCGCTATGTTTATGTGAAGAAAGTAAACATTAATAAGGATAGCTGTAAATATGTTTCGTTGTGTTTACTGCCACGGACGGCAGGTAAAACTGTTTCATCTTTTCACTGTTACGGACAGCTGTAAAAATGCTTCATCTTATCTTTTCACTGCTACGGACACTTGTAAAAATGTGTCATTTTTTCACTGCTACGGACAGCTATAAAAAACGCTTCACCAGTAAGAGCTGTAAAATAAACTGTTCGCTGTGTTGGCTGCTATGGACGGGTGTGATGTTGCTGTTAAGATATGTAAATGGCTGTAAACTTTTCACCTCAGATAATCCCGATAAAATTAACATAGATATTTGGATACTTGGTGGTGTTGCTGTTGGTGTCTACTGTTGTTCCTGTTTACTGTTGTTCTTGATTACCGTTGCACTTGCCTTTCGTTTATTGTACTGTTGTTTTTTCTTATCTAACAGTATTACCTCTTTTTCTCTCTCTCTCTCCACCATTCCCTCCTTCCACTCCTCTTCCTCACCCTCCCTTTTCTCTCTCCCCCCCTTTATTTTACCATTCCATCTATCTCCCCCCCTCTCCCTCCCTCCCGTTTCTCTCCCCCCTCTCCCTCCCTCCCTTCTCTCCCAAGATTAAATTAACACTGACATAACAAAAACCAGGGGAATTACATTACAATTACTATACTAAAAACCTTAGGTAATATATACACACCTGAACTTAAGACAATATACAGGTAAGTGAATCTCTCCCAAACAAAATACTACCTGGGCTAATTATTCTCAACTCAAGGTAACTTAGGTAAATTGTTTTAGCCTTCAAAGCTAGAATAAGTTTAAGATCAAAGATAAGTATATATTGGGCTGATGACTCGTGTGTGTGTGTGTGTGTGTGTGTCGTTCCTTTGTTACGGTGTAGCTGAGTGTGTTTGTATAATGATGGGTGTGTACTGATTATATCTGCTGCCTCTGTTTGTTTGTTTGTCTGTGTCTGTCTGTCTGTGTGTGTCTCTTTCTTTGCCTGTCTGTGTATGTCTCTTTCTTTGCCTGTCTGTGTGTGTGTGTGTGTCTCTCTCTGCCTATCTGTGTGTGTCTATCTGTGTGTGTGTGTGTGTGTGTGTGTGTGTGTGTGTGTGTGTGTGTGTCTGTGTGTGTGTGTGTGTGTGTCTGTCTGTGTGTCTGTGTGTGTGTGTCTGTGTGTGTCTGTCTGTGTGTGTGTGTGTGTCTGTCTGTCTGTGTGTGTGTGTGTGTGTGTGTGTATGTGTGTGTGTGTGTGTGTGTGTGTGTGTGTGTGTGTCTGTCTGTGTGTGTGTGTCTGTGTGTGTGTCTGTGTGTGTGTGTGTGTGTCTGTCTGTCTGTGTGTGTGTGTGTGTGTGTGTGTATGTGTGTGTGTGTGTGTGTGTGTCTGTGTGTGTCTGTCTGTGTGTGTGTGTGTGTGTCTGTCTGTCTGTGTGTGTGTGTGTGTGTGTGTGTATGTGTGTGTGTGTGTGTGTGTGTGTCTGTGTGTGTGTCTGTGTGTGTCTGTCTGTGTGTGTGTCTGTCTGTCTGTGTGTCTGTGTGTGTGTGTGTGTGTCTGTCTGTCTGTGTGTCTCTGTCTGCCTGTCTACTTGATTATCCTTTATTCTCTCTACCTGTCTGTGTCTCAGTCTCTGTCCTTTTAACCAATCTTTTTTTTCTATTCACTCTTTTGTCCTCTTCCTTGCAGTCATATATAACTATAAGTTGCCATACATAACCACAAGTTGCCATATATAGTCATAATTTACCACACAACAGCAATTCGCCATATATAGTCAAAAGTTGCCATATATAGTCATAATTTACCACACAACAACAATTCGCCATATATAGTTAAAAGTTGCCATACAAACAAACAATGCCATATATACAGTATAGACAAAAATATCCATACATAGACAAAAGCTACCATGGATAACCAAAAGCTGCAATATATAACCACAAGTTGCCATACAGACAAAAACTGCCATATATAGCTACAAGTTGACATACAGAGACAAAAACTGTCATACATATATATAGTATAGACCAAAAATTACCATACATGGACAAAAGTTGCCAAAGATAACCAAAAATTGCAATACATAACCAAAAGTTGCCATAGTAAAAAAAAATTCATATATAGACAAAACTTGCTATAGATAACCAAAAAAACTGCAATACATAACCTTAAGTTTCCACACATAGCCAAAAAATGCCATATATAGCCACACGTTGCCATAAATCACGGAGACTCAAGCGTATTTAAGCTGTAGGATTGAGAAGGAACCAAAGAAGAACACAGAGAGGGTGATGGATGTGACCCTGTGTAGTGTAGGGAAACCTGAGGCCCCTTATGTAACAGTGGCCCCTAGTCTACCCTCCCTCCCCCTCCCCCCTTCTTGGTTTACCTCTTGGTTTAATTCGTAGTTAACTTTTTGGTTTAATTCGTGGTTTACTTCTTGGTATAAAATGTGGTTGCATTGGGTTGGGTTAGGTTAAGTTGGGTTAGGTTAGGTTGGGTTAGGTTAGGTTGGGTTAGGTTAGGTAAGCACTAACATCACCTTCCTCCTTCTACACAACCAACACTATTGCCTCATTCTCCCTACTTTACGGCCACTTTCCTCTGATTCCCTTTATTACATTCTCTTCATCTGTATTCCACAAGTAGCAGCCAATGTTTGTTTTTACCTCCTGTTACGTGACTCTCGCTATTATTAACCAGTATTTTGTATTATTTTCTACCTTTCTCTGCGGTTTTCTTTCGTTTGTATTCAGATGAGGGTTACGTTTTGTGTCCCATTTTCTGTGATACTTTTGTTGTTGTGGTGGTGAATTTTTGTGTGTATAGCTTGTGTGTGTTGGTATACCTGTAGTGGTGTAGTCTTGATGGTGAAGAGACTTCTTGTAGCAACACACGGTAACTGGGTGCCTCGTGGGCCCAGGCTAGACCAGCAGGGGATATCGGAACTGCAGTGGGCCCCAGAAGGACGGCGTTTGGGCCCACTGGCATGTGGATACGCCCTGGTGCCTACCAACCATTGCCCCGCTGCCTTGCAGATTAACTTTGGTAGGTATAAGGCTACGGGAGTAAACCCCGAATGAAAAATCTACGGCGGAGCCCCGCATCAGGCAGACATGCTTACATACCTCCAATAACACCCCAACGGTGGTATAGGCAGAAAAGGTGACCAACATGGGAACCCAACGACTACACCGATGGACGAAGGCAATGCACGATGGACAGGCCGTTTTGGATGCCCACCAAATCTCCTCGCCATTGTGGGGCAACTCCACGATGGCATGAACGGCAGTGTCCTGCACAATGGTACCCAGTCTGAGTTCTTCCCCATCCAAACGGGGTAAAACAAGGATGTGTACTGGCACCAACTCTCTTTTCCATTTTCTTGGCTGCCTTCCTTACTCGTGCCAGTGCCAATTTAGCCGGCAGGGTGGCCATCGAGCACCGGATGAAAGGTCTTTTCAACATAAGACGACTCCAGGCAGGAACAAAGGTGTCGGCAGCTTCCATTACTGAACTTCAGTATGCAGACGACCTCACCCTTGTCACTCACACTGAACGCAAACTACAGGAGAGCCTACACAGATGAGTATGCACACTTCGGCCTTGAGGTGAATGTACATAAGACTTAGATTCTCTTTCAGCCTGCCACTGGTTCAGCCATACATCCACCATCCATCCAGTTTAACAGGAGTACCCTCTCTAATGTTACACTTTCGGTATCTCGGCTTCCATCTGTCCACTACCAGGGGCCAGATTAGCATGGAAATACTCTAGTTTGGTATATCAATATATTTCTATACGATCATCCTCCTTTATTCCCTCTATCCTTCTTATCATTCCATCATCGTTGCTTCTTCCTCTTCTTTTTCTTCTTCGTACTTACTTCTTCTGTTTTCTTCTAATTGGTTTCTTCCTTCTTCTTGTTTACCCTTTCTTGTTTCTTTGTATTTTTCTTCCCCTTTATCTTTATTTTTCTTCTTGTTGTTTATCCTTATCTTCTTCCTGACAGCTGGTTCTTCTTCTTTCTTCTTGTTTTATAGATTTTTCTTTTCCTTCAAGTTTTCTTCTTAAATTTTCTTCTCGTTTTCTTTATCTTGTTTTTCCTCTTTTCTTCTAATTTGCTTGTTTTTCCTTCTTATTTTGTTCCTTATCCTTCTTATTTTGTTCTTTTTCTTTCTTAATTTGCTCTTTTCCTTTTTATTTTGTTCCTTTTCCCTCTAATTTTGTTCTTTTTCCTTCTTATTTTGTTCTTTTCCTTCTTATTTTGTTCTTTCTCCTTCCTATTTTGTTCTTTTTCCTTTTGTTTTTTCCTTATTTTGTTCTTTTTCCTTCTTATTTTGTTCTTTTTCCTCCTTATCTTATTAGTTTTCCTTCTTATTTTGTTAATTTTCCTTCTTATTTTGTTCTTTTTCTTCGCGTTTTTTTCTTTTTCCTCTTGTTTTCTTCTGTATCTCCTCTACCATTGTCTTCCTCCCAACAGCTGGTGGAGAGAGAGACGTTAACAAGACACCAGCTGTTTCTCGAGCGTTTTCCGGACTTCCACGGCCAGCTGTTCCATCTAGCCAGCTGGATTGACGACTTTCCATATCTCTTCTACGATAATGGTGGGTGATGGTGGCTGTCCGTGTCCTTGTTTTGTGGATGTCCGTTCTTGTGTCGGTTGTCTCTGATGTCCGTTGTCTATTGAATCTTCCGCCCGTGTCCGTGTTTTGTGGATGTCCGTTCTTGTGTCGGTTGTATTTTCGTCCGTGTCCGTGTTTTGTGGATGTCCGTTCTCCGTTCTTGTATCTGTTGGATGTTGTATCTACCATCCATGTCCGTGATGGTTAATTTTTCCGCCCATGTTCTTTTTTTCTTGTCTGCCTGTCTGTCTGTCTGTATCCGTCCTTCCGTTCTGGTCTGTCCTTGCATTCTTGACTGTCCATCCGTCCTTTCTTCTGTCCGTGTCTATGTACTTTATTCAATCCGTGTCTGTCCGTACAATCTGTATATGTTCCTTCCCGTCCGTATCATATCCATCCATCTTCCCGTCCGTATCCTATCCGCCCTTCTTCCCGTCCGTATCATATCCATCCTTCTTCCCGTCCGTATCATATCCGTCCTTCTTCCCGTCCGTATCATATCTCATCCTTCTTCCGTCCGTCCGTATCATATCCATCCTTCTTCCCGTCTGTATCATATCCGTCCTTCTTCCCGTCCGTATCATATCCATCCTTCTTCCCGTCCGTATCATATCCATCCTTCTTCCCGTCTGTATCATATCCGTCCTTCTTCCCGTCCGTATCATACTCATCCTTCTTCCCGTCCGTATCATATCCATCCTTCTTCCCGTCCGTATCATATCCGTCCTTCCCGTCCGTACTGAAAGTCAATCCAGCACACGCAATCTGACAACTCACCTGTCTAATTAGCACCGTAACTTCCAACCCTCACCTGAGCTAATAATAATAATAAAACTGTTAACTTCCCCAATGGTACTTTTACGTCATGTATTCCAAGAGAAATTTACGACTATTATAATTTTTTTAAGGTAGAGAAAGTTAGTAATTTTTTCCTACCTTCTCTACCACAACACCTGTCAGTGAGGGAGATTCTATCTGTGGGTACGAAATGAGAGAGAGAGAGAGAGAGAGAGAGAGAGAGGATATAATAAGAGCGGAAAGAAAGAGATAAGAACAACACAGAGAGAGAGAGAGAGAGAGAGAGAGAGAGAGAGAGAGAGAGAGAGAAGAGTATTATTATGTATAAGAGCGAAAAGAAAGAGATAAGAACAAAAGAGAGAGAAGAGAGAGAGAGAGAGAGAGATAAATAAGAAAAACACAAACTAAAACAAAACACAAACGAGAATAAAACAAGAAAAACAAATTAACTCCTTCAAAACAATATCACATCATCATCGTCAACCCACAACACACATAAACCAATTTTTTTTTATACAACTCGACCTTAAACCACTGCGTAGAATAAACTAGTAAAAAATTTTCTCTCTACATCAACACCATAATAGTTTCAGTTTAAAATTTAACCAGAAGCGAATGAGAATTGTGGTGGTGATATTATATGAAATTAAAAGCAGCGAGACGCATTATCCTCGTGTTAATTCTCTCTCCGGTGAACACGTATATTTATAATTTCTTTTAAACTTCTGTATGTTGTAGTTTTTGTCGTACTCAAGTCGTAATTATTGTAATAGTTTTAAGCTACAGTATTTTTGTAATATTAGTTACGTATTGATGTACTAAACACTTTAATACTTTATAAATTACAGTAGTTTGTGATACTGGACATTTTTGTATTCAGTATATCGTAAAACGGATAAGGCAATGAATCGGGTATATTGTGTTAACTTAAAATAAAGGAATATACGGTCGTTCATACGTGTTCTTAAGCACTTAAAGGTATATACATATTTACATTAATCTTGTAATTAACCTGCAACATAAGGTATAGATTCTTTGATATGTTAATTACATCTTTAAATAGTATGTGAATGTTAATATTTTGTCCATAATGTAACCTATAATAATGTTAACATGTTAAAAATAATATATATACGGTGTCCTGATGTAGTGTGTCGCGCCCTGCAGAGAAGAAGGTGGTGGGTATTGGCCAGGCGATGCTTCAGGAGATAGCTAGTCGCCTCAACTTCACCTACCACCTGCAGGAGATCCCACCTGACGAGTACTGGGGGGAGCTGATTAACGGCACCTGGGTCGGGATGCTGGGGCAGGTGGTGAGGAAGGAGAAAGATTTTATCATCAATGGCATGGCGGTGGTGCTCGACAGATACCAGGCAGCTGACTTTAGTGTTCCCTACTTCAGCGACTCCTACAGTATTACCCTGAAGGTGTGTGTGTGTGTGTGTGTGTGTGTGCTGAAGAACAGGACAGACAACTTTAATCTGTGAAGCTGAATAACACACAAGTGGTATACATACACGAGAAATTGGACTGAATATGAATTTGGGTAAATACTCAATGAATAGACACGAAGAGAAAATACTGTGAAAAAAATACAATGCAAGAATATTTACAACTGGTAAATATATCGTTTAGGGAAAAGAGGGCTATTTATAAGTACAGGGTATAGCATAAGTTGATTTGCAGAGAATGTGTATATGTGTGTGTTAGTAAAGCGATTTATGCGTCACCCTGCATGCATGGAGGAATGTAAGTGGAGAAAACGGATTGATTTAAGGCTCTGGTGAACGCATGGTTGATGTTCGTGTGCTAAGAGATCATAACAGAGAACAAGAGAGAACAACAGAGAACCAACGAGAAGAAACAAATATAGAGTGATATTAAAAGACAAATACTGCATGTGTTTAAATATGTGGTGTCTAATCGAGATATGTTGGCAGGTATGGGGACAACCACATCATGTTGGCAATGCTATTTTATCATTGTTCCAACCATTATACCTTTATCTTTCTCTTTATTATACTTCTCAGGGTTAATTATCTCCTGTTGTTTCGTCTCTATCCACCCCACCCCACCTCACCACCCCTCCCACAAGTCCAATGATTCTCTCACTTCTCTCCCCACACAGGTCCCCCCACCCTTTCCACGCTGGCGGTCTGTGGTGTATCCGTTCGGTGTGTGGGTGTGGGCGGGAGTGTTGGCTGCCTTAGTGATGCTCTCTCTTATATTCCACCTCCTCGTCCGGGCTGACTCCTCGCCCATCTACAACAACAGTCAGTATCTTCCTTCTCTTTCTTGTGTGTGTGTGTGTGTGTGTGTGTGTGTGTTTTAATTAAGTAATATAACAACCACGTAAGCAACAAATTCTAACTAAATTAAACTACGAAACACAATTACAAACTTTTTTCGCACTTCTTATATTTCCCCAATCTAACCAACAGTGTAAATCCATACTTAGTTATTATCTAAATAACATCATGAAGAACAAAACACTCACTGAAAAGAACATCCAATGAACACTGAAACACAATTCGATGGATATAAGAACAACCAAAACATCAACACGAGTCACCTTCTCAACCCAACAACGAGGAAATTCCAGGGATGGACGTGTTGTCGACGATGGTATGGCTCTCCAGGACACTCCTCCGACAGTCAGTGCCAAGAGTGCCAGAGGTGATGGGGTGCCGAGCCTTCCTGGCCTGTTGGTGGCTCTCAGCTCTCGTGCTCTCCACCTCCTATATGGGCAAGCTGATAGCCTTCCTCACCGTGCCCACACAAACACGGAGGATAGACACTCTAGAGGAACTGGCTGCCGCCCAGGTCAAGTGAGTTATCCAGTTCAAGTGAGTTATCCAGGTCAAGTGAGTTATCCAGGTCAAGTGAGTTATCCAGGTCAAGTGAGTTATCCAGGTCAAGTGAGTTATCCAGGTCAAGTGAGTTAGTTATCCAAGTCAAGTGAGTTATCCAGATCAAGTGAGTGAGTTATCCAGGTCAAGTGAGTTAGTTATCCAAGTCAAGTGGGATAACCAGGTCAAGTGAGTGAGTTATCCAGGTCAAGTGAGTTAGTTATCCAGGTCAAGTGGGTTATCAAGGTCAAGTGAGTTATCCAGGTCAAGTGAATTAGTTACCCAGGTCAAGTGAGTGAGTTATCCAGGTTCGGTTAGTTATCCAGGTCAAGTGGGTTATCCAAGTAAAGTGGGTTATCCAGGTCAAGTGATTTATTCAGGTCAAGTAAAGAGTCATCCAGGTCAAGTGGTCAAGTGAGTTTTCCAGGTCAAGTGAATTAGTTACCCAGGTCAAGTTAGTTAGTTATCCAGGTCAAGTGAGTTATCCAGGTCAAGTGAGTGAGTTATCCAGGTCAAGTGAGTTAGTTATCCAGGTCAAGTGGGATAACCAAGTCAAGTGAGTTATCCAGGTTAAGTACTTATCCAGGTCAAGTGAGTGAGTTATCCAGGTTAGGTTAGTTATCCAGGTCAAGTGTGTTATCCAAGTCAAGTGGGTTATCCAAGTCAAATGAGTCATCCAGGTCAAGTGAACTAGTTACCCAGGTCAAGTGAGTTATCCAGGTTTAGTTAGTTATCCAGGTCAAGTGGGTTATCCAAGTCAAGTGGGTCATCCAGGTCAAGTGATTTATTCAGGTCAAGTGAACTAGTTATCCAAGTCAAATGAGTTATCCAGGTCACGTGAGTTATCCAGGTCAAGTGAATTGTTTCCAAGTTAAGTGAGTTATGCAGGTCAAGTATCTCCTCAGCATCCAAGAAAAATAACATCCTGCTACTCGCCAACTCGCCCCAACTTCGCCCATTCACTCGCCCAAAACCATTTCCTCCTCTCTTGTAAAAATTCGCCAAGTTTGCTGGAGTGCCATTTATGCTAATTAGCTAACAGGGAACTAATTAGCATACATGTCTTACGCAGAACCTTTTCATACATTATTTTGCTTCTATTTATGTACCAACTCTCGAAGTATTGTTAGTTTTTAATTATAAAAATTATTAATAAGTCTAAAATATGTTTCCCAGGTAATAATTAATGACACCTGTATATGTAATTAACCAGTCATCGACAATATTTGCATTGAAGACATTTTACCTGTATTTTATTATTATTGTAAAAAAAAATACAGAAAAAATATGGACATTATAATTCTTGTTTCTTATTGGCAGTTTTTCTAAGGAATATATTGACTTGTTAGAAATAAGTTGTTTACGTTTAGAAAGGTCATACGAAAGGTCAAAGTTCACCCTTCTGTTGGTATGGATGAGATCAAAGGTCAGAATCAAAAGGCCACAAGGCACACTCCAGACCTCACCCACCCTCTATCCTCACTACTACCATCAGCTGAAGAAGTCTGCTGGATGAGTTATGTGCATGTGAAGTTTTCTTTTAGCGTGGGATAAATCGCCTTGGGGTCATAGGGTCAGGTCACAGGGGGATTACGCGTCATTGAGGCAACTTACAGCCATTGAGACAAACTTTGGTGTTCGTTTCCCTCCCCCAGTTGGTCACTTTTTCTGCAGAAAGAATGTTAAGCTTTACTAAGTTCTTGCAATGACCTGACCTGACCTAGGGTAACGTAATTCAAGCCAACCTAAAATAATCTAACCCAATCCAACCTAGCTAACCTAATCAACTTAACTCAACCTAACCTAACCCCGTCTGACCTGACTTGACCTAATCTACCGTAACCTAATCTATTGTAAGAAAACCTAACGTAACCTAACTAACTCTTCTAACCTAACCTTACCTAACCTGACTTAATCTAACCTAAGCTAACCTAATTCAACCTAACCTAATCTAACCCAACCCAAACTAAGCAAACCTAACCCAACTGAACTGACCTGATCTGACCTGACCTAACCCAACGTAACTCAAACTAACCGAACCTAAGATAATCTAAGCTAAACCAACTGACCTGACCTGACCCGACCCGACCCAACCCAACCCAACCCAGTCAGCCACTCGACCTCACACACATTAAAGCCAAGTTACCATGGCAAGATAGTCGATAAAACTACACTTTTGGAGTTCTTTTCTGCTCACGTGTTCGCTGGCAGAAATCTTTAAACTGCCCTGAAGCAAAATTTCCGAGGGATGTAATGGCCCCAGAATGTGAGTTTTGTTCAATGGTCGACGGTGTAGATGTCGTCTATATTTTTCTTACTGTCGTATTTCTTGGATTTTCTTGGTGGTGGAAATGTTTTCGTTTCATGAGTCAAAAGTTGTCGTTTATTTTTAGTTTAATGAAGATTTTGTGAGGAATAATCTAAACCTAACCTATCTTCACCTAACCTAACCTCATCCACCAGAAACAACACATACTCGCCAGGTTAGGTTAGGTTAGGTTATAAGCTCACCTAATAACCTCATCTGATCGTCAGGATACATATGTTGGACTACGGTAACTTCCTGCCTGGTTACCTGTGGTCATCTAAGGAACCTGTACTACGGAGGCTGGGGAACAAGTTGTCGCTTTTACCGGACTACGACCAGGTTCTGCAGGCCTTCGATAGCGGGGCCGGGGTGCTGGAGGCTACTGAATACTCCCAGTTTCTGTTTATCACTCGGAGTAGGAGCAAGACTTCCTACGCCGTCGAGGAGAAGCTGTATCCGAACTACGTGGGCTGGGCGTTCCAGAAGGGCGCTCCTTATAAATACATCTTTGACAGGTAAGATCTTTTGTGTGGTCGGAGGGTGGGGGGGTGTCGGGGAGGAGGGGATGTTTGTGTGGAGGGGAAGGGGTGTTTGTGTGAAGGGGTGTGAGGAGGAAGGTGTGTTGTGTGAGGGAGGAAGGGGTGTGTTTGTGTGGTGGAGTAAGGGGTGGGGGTGTGTGTGTGGGAGGAGGAGGGGTGTTTGTGTGGGGGAAGGAAGGGGTGTGTGGGTGGGGGAAGGAAGGGGTGGTGTGTGTGGAGGGAGGAGGGGGGTGTTTGTGTGGGGAAGGAAGGTGTGTGGAGGGAGAAGGAAGGTGGTTGTGTGAGGGGGAAGGAAGGGTGTTTGTGTGGGGGAAGGAAGGGTGTGTTTGTGGGTGAGTGGGGAAGGAAGGGGTGTTTGTGGGGGAAGGAAGGGTGTTTGTGTGGGGGAATTGTGTGGGGGAAGGAAGGGGTGGGGGGAAGGAAGGGGTGTTTGTGTGGGGGGAAGGAAGGGTGTGTGTGGGGGAAGGAAGTGTGTGTGGGGGGAAGGAAGGGTGTGTGTGGGGGGGGAAGAAGGGTGTGTGGGGGAAGGAAGGGGTGTCAGAAGGTGGTGGGGGGAAGGAAGGTGTTGTGTGTGGGGAAGGGGGAAGGGGTGTTTGTGGGGGAAGGAAGGGGTGTGTGTGTGGGGGGAAGGAAGGGGTGTTTGTGAGGGGGGAAGGGTGTTTGTGTGAAGGGGGGAAGGAGTGTTTGTGTGTGGGGGGGGGAAGGAAGGGGTGTGTGTGTGAGGGGGGAAGGGGTGTTTGTGTGTGGGGGAAGGAAGGGTGTGTTTGTGTGTATGTGGGGATTGAGTGTATGATGGTGTTTTTGTGTGTGCAGAGGTTGATTGAACGTGCGTGTTGGGTGCTTACATGCGTGTGTTGGGTGTTTGTATGTGCGTATGTTGTTTTTTGTGTGGGGGGAGGTATATCGTAAGTGTGTGCATGTGTGTGTACGTGTGCATGTGGAGTAACAATCAGAAGCATTAAGACTTTACCTCTTCTTTAACTCCACCACAGTAATCACATTAACAACCACAATACACACAAGTTATATTACAATTATTACCCAACGCTTATTTTCAATTAATATTCAAATTACTAACAAACTACTACTACTCTTTTCTCGTTATACATCAACATAAAATTGCCTATTACGACTACATTTTTTCCTATTATGACCATATTTTTTCCTATTCCGTTTTTAGTTACATGGAAGATAAAATATATATAAAAGTTATTATTTTTTTTTACAACAGACGAGTTAAATTGTCCGTCAAAATAGGAGAAAAAAGCTTTGTGTGTTGTGAGTGTTGGGTGGTCAGGTGGGGGAGGGGGAGGGGAGTACAGCAACAGCAGGATGGGGTGTTTTGATCCATTTGAGTTAATTTTTTTTATAGGAATAATAACAACAACCGTACCACCACCACCAACAACAACAACAATATCGATACTCCCACTAACATAACAACAACGCCACCACCATCATCACCACCACCACCACCACCATCACCATCATCATCACCACCACCACCACCACCGCCACCACCATCACCATTACCATCACCACCACCACCAACAACAACAACCTCATCACCAACTACAAAACCATAACAAATAAATCTCAAAACTTTACAACACCGCCGGGTACAGTGTGATAAGTAAAGGAAATAAGACAGTGTTGACAATATTCACCACACCAACAGCTGCCTCAAAAGGGTCTAATTGGAATGTCCTGCCGTCTTGTGCCGCCATTCACCACGAACGTCTTGCCAATTTCTCAACTTTTTCTTCTCAAGCGTGACGACTATCTGGAGAATTTTCTTCATCTGGTGATCGAAATGTTCAGCTTTTAAGAGAGTCTCAGCTCCTTTTAAGAGAGTCTCAGCTCCTTTTAAGAGAGTCTCAGCTCCTTTTAAAAGAGTCTCAGCTTCCTTAAGTAACTCACAGCTCCCTTAAGTAACTGTCACATCACATCTTGTTCACGGAATTGACGAAGACTTGATATGAAAGGTGTGTTTTTTCTTACAGGGTTCAAAGAGACTTAACCTTACATTTAAATACATAGATTCGTTTTCTGTTTGTAAGACGAAGATGTGATACAACCTTAAAGAAAACCTGAAACTCTCGGAAGGAGGAGCGGGAGAAGAGGGAGGAGGAAGAGGAGAAGAAGAAATATTTACTGAAGAATATATTACCTTATCGGGAATGCGTCTACCCAGTGACAAATATGACCAATAAGATTTTTTATATGAATATTTATTTTACTTATAAATATTTCTACTGACAGTTAATTAATGTACGAATATTAACACAACCAGGTAATTTATTGCACCAAAATTAACTCTAAGACAGGTAGGTAATTAGGAGGAGTATTACCACTGATATTGACCCTCGTATTGATCACAAATATTACTACTGGAGGTAAATATTACAAAGTAAATATTACAGAAAAAGTTAATAAGCATTTTTTGATACCTGAAGACATCAAAGGTAAGGCGGACAGGTGTGTGTGTGTGTGTGTGTGTTGAGGATAACTTACAGCCCAGGTAATGTTCATTGAATGTTGTGGCATTGAAGCTTTTTGTATTTGATATCGAAAGAGAGTATATATGTATGTATGTATGTATGTATGTGTGTGTGTATGTATGTATGTATGTATGTATGTATGTATGCATGTATGTATGTATGTATGTGTGAATACTTACATGCATCCATGTATGAATGTATGAATGTTTGAATGTATGTGTGTATAGATGCAAGCATATAGAGTATATATGAATGTTTGCATGCATATGTTACTGTATGTATGTATGCATGTATGTATGTATGTATGTGTGAATACTTACATGCATCCATGTATGAATGTATGAATGTTTGAATGTATGTGTGTATAGATGCAAGCATATAGAGTATATATGAATGTTTGCATGCATATGTTACTGTATGTATGTATGTACGACCCAAAAATAACGATACTGACCCTATAACTCGGGAATCAGGAGTGGGAGGGGAGGGACAAACAGACGGTTATCGAACATGTTCTAACCTATCACAGTGTAACAAGGCTCAACTCGATCGCTTCCCTCAGTACAATCTCGTTAAACTTAAGAAATCCGCGACGGAAGCTTTTCAGTTATTGACTGAGGCCTACAGTGAAGATTGCATGTCTCGTGCACGCGTTTTTGAATGGCACAAACGATTTTCGGAAGGCAGAGAAACCGTGAAAGATGATGACCGCCCAGGCCGTCCGCACACAGCAGTTACCGATGACAACATTGAAAAAGTACAAGATATGATAAAAAAAAACATAGGTTGGGTGTTCGAGCAATAGCTGAGCAAGTTAATTTAGACAGAAAGTGTTCGACGCATTCTAACGGAAGAATTGAACTTGACAAAGGTTTGTGCAAAAATGGTTCCAAAAACGCTGTCAGATGAACAGTGCGCCAGCCCACAATGCTTTGTCTGTGAAGCATTTTTTAGCCAATAAAAGCATCACTGTGCTTGAGCACCACCCTATTCACCAGACCTGGCTCCCTGCGACTTCTACCTCTTCCCAAAGATCACGTCCGTGCTCAAAGGAACCAATTTCTTGTCAGTAGAAGAGGTGAAAGCAAAAACGACGGAGCTCCTCAACAGCCTTACAGAACATGATCTGCGGAATTGCTTTAAACTGTGGCAGCATCGTATGCAGCTGTGTGTCAACTCAGAAGGAAACTACTTTGAAGGAGATCACAACTGATTTTCTTAATTTGGTAAATAAAAAGAGTTACAGCATCAGTCTCGTTTTTGTGCGTCGGACCTCGTATGTATGTCTGCATGTATGTAAGAATATCTACATGTATGTATGAATGCCAGCATAACCTAAATGTCTGCACGTGCACTGTATATGAATAACAGCATGTATATATGAAAACCAGCCAGTGTGTAGGACTGTAGTGTTGACTATTGACCCACATAATTCACTCTACTACCCGGCCTCCTCCTCCTTCTTCTCCTCACAATATACAGTTGTTGTGAGGCTGAAGCGGTACAATGACCCCCCCTCTCCCCCCCCAATGTATCAACCCCTGGGGGAAATACAGAAAAATACATCATATAAAACCAAAGAAAAGATGCATAAAATACACAAAAACAAAAACACCACAAAATACAGATAAACATAAAACAAAACCAGAACAAAAACACCGATCAACTTCAACACACACACACACACACACACACACACACACACACACACACACACACACGAGTTGGATGCACAGCCAAAATATTTTCACGGTCGGTATGAAAAAAATCTCGATTTGTGGGAATTTCTTTTATATATATTTTTGTGGTCTAGATATTTTTTGTTATATTATATTGTAATTTTGGCACGTGACTGGCATTAGTATATCAGTCCGGGGAGTGTAGCTATAGCGCCCAAAGTTTAAAACATTTATTACATTTTTGGGGATAAACTATTGGCTATATTTTTAGATAAACTATTGGCTATATTTTTAAATAAACTATTGGCTATATTTTTAGATAAACTATCGGCTATATTTTTAAATAAACTATTGGCTATATTTTTAGATAAACTATTGACTATATTTTTAGATAACTATTGGCTATACTTTTAGATAAACTATTGGCTATACTTTTAGATAAACTATTGACTATATTTTTAAATAAACTATTGGCTCTATTTTTAAATAAACTAATTGGCTATATTTTTCATAATGACTTATGAAATATATTACCGTATATTAAGTACAGTATATATTCTCACTGGTTTAAGGATTATACTATTGATTTTACTTGTCACAAATAATTTTTCTGGGTATATATTATTTACTATATTATTCACTATGATTTTTTTATATATACTCCAGGTTTGTTTGTCTTGTTTGTATTATTTATATTGTTACTTTGCTTTTTAGTTCTTGTTTATTTTGTTTATTTTGTTTTGTTTTTTTAGTTCTTGTTTATTTTGTTTATTTTTTATTTTGTTTGTTTTGTTTTTTTAGTTCTTGTTTATTTTGTTTATTTTTTATTTTGTTATTATGTTTTTGTTTATTTGGTTTATTTTGTTTATAGTATAATTATTTGCATTGTTTAACGTATTTATTTTGTCTGTGTTTCTCGTCAGTGTGTACATTGATATTTATTTTTAATGATGTAAACCATTAGTTCTCCTGTGATAGATAACGAGGTGATTAAGATAGATTGATTGTTAGCTTATTGGTGCTGTTTGTGTGTGTGTGTGCCTCCCAACAGAACCTTAACCACTATCTCTCAGCGCCCCTGACATAACTTTAACCACTCTCCTCCAACGCTCCCGACAGAACCTTAACTACTCTCCTCCAACGCTCCCGACAGAACCTTAACCACTATTTTTCAACGCCCCCGACAGAACCTTAACCACTATCTCTCAGCGTCCCCCGACAGAACCTTAACCACTATCTCTCAGCGCCCCCGACAGAACTTTAACCACTCTCCTCCAACGCTCCCGACAGAACCTTAACCACTATCTCTCAACGCCTCCTAACAGAACCTTAACCACTATCTCTCAACGCCACCCGACAGGTACTTAAACGCCATGTCTCAGTCGGGCTTGGTGATGCAGTGGCGACGCTCCATCATCGAAGACTTCCGACGGTCTACAGGAGACAAGCAGAGGTCGGCGACGAAGGGGATGCTACAGGTGGAGGAGGAGGAGAAGCAGGTCCTTGAGCCTTTAACCCTGGAGAACATACAGGGAGCCTTCATAGTGCTGGCATTCGGTAGTGTGTTGGCCTTGTTGGTGCTGGTAATAGAGGTGGTGGTGATGTACTGTGGCTAGTGTGTGTGTGTGAGAGAGAGAGAGAGAGAGAGAGAGAGAGAGAGAGAGAGAGAGAGTATGATGACTCCAAATCAACAACACTCGTCTCAACCATCTACTAATCACATCGGCTGTCGTGTAGCACAGTCGTCACCCAAGAGGTTTCCTGCACACCTGTAATTGATGTCACCACCTGCTGTAGTGGGATTCAAACACACCTGTAACTCGTATGTGCTTGGAAACCCCATTATGTACACGGATGAGCCTATAGAGTATGTCTAAGCGAATATCGATGTCACTTGTCAAATAATAATAAAAGTAAAAAAATAATAAAGCAAATTGAATAACACTGCGTCTTCTTACTGTCCATCTAAGTGCTGAGAGAGAGAGAGAGAGAGAGTCATTAACACACAATAATCTAGGGTCATCATCCTCTACACGTCACCTTCACTCCCTAAATTTAGGCTTCTTCAATAATAACTCCTGACCTTTGACCTTTCATAATGAGGTCACCACCAAAAATATCTAGGGGTCCTAAAATACTAATGTCCTAATATATACTATTGAAAACATATTTGCGTGAGTAATAATAATAATAATAATAATAATAATTAACGGTTTATTAAGATAACATGGCAGCCCGAAGGCTGGAAATATACAATGAACAGAGGTGATAGGTTACATATGGTGGAAGCGGGGAGTGGGTCACTTGATTGACAAAAGATTTTAATACAAGAATTAAGAAACATAGAGTCAACATATAGATTAACTATAGATCTGGTACTGTGGGAGCTGGTCTTGTAAACATTCTTGTGACCTGATATTGGCGCCACTGTCTGGATGGCCGTCGTACCTGGGTGCTAAGCCGCTACCTCACTACAGCTACTGATGTTTAGCACATCCACCACGTGGTCCGGGTAGGTCCTTCAGCTCACACAGGGTGTTGGAGATGGTTCTTGTTCCTCATGTGATCTAGTTAGGAATTCATAGTTCCTCACCTGGGTGGAGTAGGGAGTCCTCATTTCTCTCCTAATGTAGTTTGGAGTCTTTCTTAGCTTCTCATCCAGTGTTGGTGGTGGTGAGTGTACCGCGGACTGGGTGTGTCTGGTCCGCGTCAGGTCAACATTGACCGCACTGATTGTCACTCACAGTTGTTTCTTTCCTTCAAGTTGAAATTGTCACTTTTGTATATCACTCGTGAGTTGATCATCAATCTTTGCACTGTACTGTTGGTGGGAGAATGTTGATAAATCCTGATTCTCTTTCAGCTTGCCCCTGGTTCAGCCACATCTCCACCATCCATCCATCTTAACAGTACTACCCTCTCTAATGCTACCCACTTTCGGTATCTCGGCTCCCACCTGTCCACCACCGATGCCATCGATGAAGAAATTCAGCATCTGAACAGATGTGCATCTCAAGCCTTTGGCAGACTCCGAAACGGTGTCTTCAGCTGTAGGGAGCTGACATACCTACAAAGTTACAAGAATATCGAGCAGTGGTCCTCCCCACCCTGCTATATGGCAGTGAGACATGGGTCACATACAGTCGGCACCTCAAGGTACGTGGAAACTTTCACCAACGTAGTCTACGTTTCATCCTCCAAGTTCGCTGGGAAGGCAAGAGGACAAATGTCAGTATTCTTGCTGACACCAACTGTAGGAGCATCGAGGCTACCATTATCCACGAACAACTACACTGGATTGGCCATGTTACACGCATGGACGACAGTAGACTGCCAAAGCTGCTACTTTAGTCACCTAACGAATAGTATGCTGGCGGGCAACTGATGAGGTACAAGGATAGTCTTAAGACAAACCTGAAAAAGTGCCAAATCGACCTCCTCACCTGGGAGACGATTACTCCACACCATAACGCTTAGAGGAGCACCACACAAGAAGGTGTCAATATTTTCGAGTTATTCCGACTGCATAACGAGGCAGACAAGTGCCAACGCCGGAAAGACGCTGCCGCCGATCCTCCCGCACTAGATGTAGCCCCCCACATAAGCAACTTCTGAGATCGACTCTGCCAGTCTCGTATCGGCCTCTTAAGTCATCTCAGAACTCATCAACCTAGGTAACACACTTAATAATTCATATAACTGTATCATAGCTGGATGACCGTCATACTCGATTCCGGGTGAAAGAAATGTAGTGGTAGTAGTGTGTGTGTGTGTGTGTGTGTGTGTGTGTGTGTGCGTGTGTGTGTGTGTGTGTGTGTGTGTGTGTGTGTGTGTTTGTCATGTGCATTCCTAGTCCACGGAGAACCTGCCAAACAAGTAGAACATTCACCTGCCTCGGTAGCGTTCTTTCTCCCAAGCACAACATCGACGGAGAGATCCAGGCTGGGATCCATCCTGCAGCTGCCTCCTTTGGTAGAGAGAGAGGTCGGGGTAAATGGGAGTAAAAAAGCAAGCAGGTCCTGGGAAGTAAAATTGGTTACTCAGGACAAGGGGCAAAACAGAACCAGGGAAGGGTAGGTTTAAATGTATACTATACAAACAGTAGGAGTGTTAGAAATAAAATAGACTTGCTGAGAGAAGTTGTTTGTACCGAGAATTTAGACGTCATAGCAATCACCGAAACTTGGATGAATCTGGCGAGCAAATTTTTTTTGATCAGAGTACCATATAGAAGGGTACAACCTTTTTCACAAGGACAGGGAAGGTAGGAAGAGGGGAGGGGTCGCACTCTTCGTCAGGGACACAATAAAATGTTGTATTAATAATTCAATAAAGGGTGAAATAGGAATCGGGTCTGTATGGGTAGAAATTACGGAAGGAAGAGAAGAAATAATTATGGGAGTGATTTACAGGCCCCCAAGTCTTGGGAAAGAAGCAGCTCAGTCCATATGGCAGGAAATGAGTAATGCAACAAAATACAAAAACCTGTACATTATGGGGGATTTCAAATTCAGAAACATTGACTGGGACAACATTGTAGGTGACTATGAATCTGAAGATTTCGTAGACACAGTGCAGGACAATTTTTTGAAACAACTAATTACAGAACCTACTAGAGGTGACAATATATTAGACCTAGTAGTATTAACAAATAAAGAAAATATTATCAGAGATATCACAGTAGGGGAAGAACTAGGTAACAGTGATCACAGAGAAATCAAGTTCACCCTAAATTGGGAAACGAAAAACAATGACAATATGGTCAGGATCAAACTTTCAATCGGCGGATTATGGGGGGTTAAAAAGGTACCTAGGTGAGGTCACCTGGGAACAGTCAGGTCAGTCCCAGGTGGGAACGGGTGAGGTCACATGTGACACAACAATTGATCATGACGATAATATATTCACTCGTATACTACGTAAAGCACAAGAACAAATTATACCATACAGAAAAAGTAGGTCAAATAAGAATGAGCCAAGGTGGATGACCAGAAAACTTAAACATGACATAGGAATAAGGAAAGGAATTTATAAGAAATTAAAGGGAGGGGAGGAGCAGCTCAGAAATAGGTATAATGAACTATCTAGGAATGTTAAGAAAAATGTAAGGAAAGCAAAGAGAGACTGCAAAATCAGAATAGCAAGAGAATCCAAGGCGAATCCCAAGGGATTTTTCCAGGTATATAGAACAAAGGTCAAGGACAAAGTTGGGCCTTTAAAGTCAGAGAGGGGGGGGGGGAAGTGATCGATGACAGTGAAGAAATAAGCAAAGCATTGAACAGCTACTTCTTATCAGTTTTCACAGAAGAAATTCACGAGGAAATTCCAGAGGTGGAACTGATATTTAGGGGAAAGGAAGAAGAGAAATTAAAGAATATCACTATCAGAAAAGAGGATGTTCTTAAGAGGATAAACAAATTAAAGAAGACAAAATCCCCAGGGCCAGATGAAATTTTCCCTCAAGCCTTGAAAGAGTGTAGGGAACAGATTAGCAGACCCCTCGTAAATTTATTTACAAAATCATTAGACACGGGAGTTGTGCCAGAATTGTGGAAACAAGCAAATGTAGTACCCATATTCAAAAAGGGAGACAGAGCATCAGCGTCAAATTACCGGCCGATCAGTTTGACGTCTGTAGTGGGGAAATTTCTTGAATCAATTATAGTAAATAGCATCCAATCGCATTTAGAGAAAAGCAAATTAATCTACGACTCTCAACATGGGTTTACAAAGGGAAAATCTTGTCTAACAAATCTGTTGACGTTTTTTAGGAAAGTCTTCGAGGTAGTAGATAATGACGAAAATGAGGATGTTATATACCTAGACTTTAGGAAAGCATTTGACAGAGTACCGCGTCAGAGGCTTCTGAGAAAGTTAAGGCTCATGGTATCGAGGGAAAGTTTTAAATTGGATAAAATCATGGCTCACCGATAGAATGCAGATGGTCAGCGTAGATGGTGTTAAATCTGAGTGGGGCCGTGTAACCAGTGGGGTTCCCCAGGGGTCAGTACTAGGCCCACTCTTGCTCATAGTCTACATAAACGATCTAGATACTGGGATCAGCAGTGACATAAGCAAGTTTGCGGATGACACCAAAATAGGGCGGCAGATTAATTCAGGACAGGATGCAAATGCACTACAGGAGGATTTAAATAAACTGCAGGAGTGATCAGAAAAATGACAAATGAAATTCAACACCAACAAGTGCAGCGTACCTAATATTGGAAGAACAAATATTGTCAATGTATGCAGCCTTAACAACATCAACCTAGAGAAGTCGACTTGTGAAAGAGACTTAGGGGTACTTGTAAGCCCGGACCTACGGCCTAGAAAACAGTGCGTTAATGTTCGAAATAAGGCAAACAGAGTATTAGGTTTTATATCTAGAAGTGTAAGTAATAAGAGTGCAGAGGTCTTATTGCAACTATATCTTGCGCTAGTCAGGCCGCATCTCGATTATGCTGTTCAGTTCTGGTGCCCTTATTATAGAATGGATATCAATTCACTGGAGTCGGTGCAGCGAAGAATGACGAAAATGATTCCGGGACTTAGAAACCTTCCATAACAAGATAGGTTAAAGAAACTAAACTTGCATTCCCTAGAAAGACGAAGAGTGCGGGGAGATATGATAGAAGTATTTAAGTGGGTGAAAGGGATCACTAAAGGGGATATAGATAAAGTTCTTATAATATACGAGCAGGATAGGACTCGTAGCAACGGATTTAAGTTGGATAAGTTTAGGTTTAGGAGGGAGATAGGAAGGAACTGGTTCACAAATAGGGTGGTGGACGAGTAGAACAAGCTTAGCAACTTTGTAGTAAGTGCTGGAACGCTGGAAAGTTTTAAAAGGAGCTAGATAGATTCATGGGTGATAGAGAGTGGTAGTAACTCTCGACAGGAGCTGCCATGCACAGGCCAACCGGCCTATTGCAGACTCCTTAT